ATGTTAGGTCTGGATGTGGCTAAGTGAGGAACAGAGGGAAGGGCTCTTCAGAGAGAGGGAACAGCCTGGCCAGTGGCCCTGAGGCAGCATAGAGCGTGCCCTGTTTGAAGATCGAAAGAAGGCAGGTGTGGCTCGGGGTAGTGAGTGGAGGGACAACTATGGATTTTGGAAGCCACAGAGAGGAGAGTAGACTTTATTCTGGGCTATGGGAAGAATGGAAAGTTTTTGTGTGTGTGTTTGTTTATTTGAAACAGGGTCTCACTCTGTCACCCAGGATGGAGTGCAGTGGTGCAATCACGGCTCACTGAGGCCTCAACCTTCCCAGGCTCAGATAATCCTCCTGCTTCAGCTTCCTTGGTAGCTGGGGCTACAGGTGCGCCACCACCATGCCCTGCTAATTTTTTGTATTTTTTTTGGCAGAGATGGGGTTTTCACCACGTTGTCCAGGCTGCTCGTGAACTCCTGGGCTCTACTGATCCATCTGCCTTGGCTTCCCAAAGTGTGGGGATTACAGGCGTGAGCCACCACTCTCGGCTGAGAGTTCTGAGCAAGAGGTGATTTGACAGCCATTTAAAAAAGATTTGTCTGGGCCGGTTGCAGTGGCTCATGCCTGTAATCCCAGCACTTTGGGAGGCCGAGGTGGGTGGATCACGAGGTCAGGGGTTTGAGACCAGCCTGACCAACATGGTGAAACCCCGTCTCTACTAAAAATACAAAAACTAGCCGGGTGTGGTGGCAGTCACCTGTAATCCCAGCTACTCAGGAGGTTGAGGCAGGAGAATTGCTTGAACCTGGGAGGCGGAGGTTGTAGTGAGCCGAGATCGCAACACTACACTCCAGCCTGGGCGACAGAGCGAGACTTCATCTCAAAAAAAAAAAAAAAAAAAAAAAATTCGCCCTTTAGGTGGACATTGTATGTAGTTTGGTTCATTGCTTCAACGCTGGCACCTTGAAACAGGGCCTGGCACACAAAGTGAAATATTACAGCCTGGAGTCAACTGCCCAGCTCCCCCACTAACAAGCAGAGCAGCCTTGGTGCCCCAGTGACCATGAAAGCCAACCCGTTGTCACAAACTCTCAAAATACCATGAATTAAGGACAGAGGGATCTGGAGTGAGCTGTCCAGGTGCGTGGGGCAGCCCCTCGGCATCGTCCTTGCTTTCATGCTGGAAACCAGGTTGTGGCACACCCACGTGGTGGGAAAGGAGACCAAGTCGGGACAAGCTCTTTCCAGGTGTGGTGGCTCATTACACTCATCACATCTGCCCTTGTTCCATTGGTCACTCGGTCTCAAAACAGCCACATCTAACTTTCAGGGAGGGCGGTGAATGGGGGTCCCGGGATAATGCAGCCTCTAGCTGGGCGGCCTAGTGACCAATTCCAATCCTCTCTCCTGGAAGGTGGGAGGGATGGGTTTTGTTGGATAACTGGCTGCCTGTGCCATTTAGCCTCCGTTTTCTCATCTGCGAAGGGGAGATCATAACAGAATGTACCTCATAAGGATGTTGTGAAGTTAAATGAATTAATCGAGATGCTTTTTCTAAGGGATTATTTGGTGATGCCACACAGCTTAGAAAATAAGGCTTATGGGCCGGGCACAGTGGCTCACGCCTGTAATCCCAGCACGTCGGGAGGCCGAGGTGGGCGGATCACGAGGTCAGGAGTTCGAGACAACCCTGGCCAACACGGTGAAACCCCGTCTCTACTAATAATACAAAAATTAGCTGGGCATGGCGGCGGGTGCCTGTAATTCCAGCTATTTGGGAGGCTGAGGAAGTAGAATTGTTTGGACCCAGGAGGTGGATGTGGCTCATGCCTGTAATCCCATCACTTCGGGAGGTCAAGGCAGGAGGATCTCTTGAACCCAGGAATTCCAGACCAGCCTGGGCAACATAGTAAGACGCCATCTCTGCAAAAAATTAAAAAATTAGCCAGGCATGGTAGCACACACCTGTAGTCTCAGCAGCTCAAGAGGCTGAGGCAGGAGGATCACTTGAGCCTGAAAGGTGGAGGCTGCACTGAGCTATGATTGTGCCACTGCACTCCAGCCTGGGAGACACAGTGGGACTCTGTCTCAAAACAAAACAAAATCCCCACCCCCACCACAAACCAAACAAACATCTACAGATCAAGACTCCAGTTCTATGTCCCTATGAGGGGAGTACATGAATGGCCCCCATTTCAGAGATGTAGGCAAACTGAGGCTCAGCAATGAGGACCCTGGTTGCCCTGGGGCCTGCCTGACTCTGTCCTCCATCCGCAGAGCTGTCCTGGTTTCAGACGGTGGGGGAGTCGGCCCTGAGCGTAGAGCCCTTCTTCTACGAAGGCGAGCCTCACATTGTGCTGGCACAGCCCTTCGCCGGCCGCTGCCTGATCCTCTCCTGGGACTACAGCCTGCAGCGCTTTCGGCCCGAGGAAGAGCTGCCCGGTGAGCCCCTCCCCGTCCTTCTGCCTGTCCAGCAGCCTGCCTGGCCGGCCTGACCTGCCTCCCCACCTCCCCACAGCGCCCTCCGTGGTGTCCTGCAAGCCACTGGTGCTGGGCCCGAGCCTCTTCGTGCTGGCTGCCCGCCTGTGGGGGGGCTCACAGCTGTGGGCCCGGCCCAGTCCCGGCCTGCGCCTGGCCCCAACGCAGACCCTGGCCCCGCGGCGGCTGCTGCGGCCCAATGACGCCGAGCTCCTGTGGCTGGAAGGGCAGCCCTGCTTCGTGGTGGCCGACGCCTCCAAGGCAGGCAGCACCACGCTGCTGTGCCGCGACGGGCCCGGCTTTTACCCGCACCAGAGTCTGCACGCCTGGCACAGGGACACGGACGCTGAGGCCCTGGAACTGGACGGCCGGCCCCATCTGCTGCTGGCCTCGGCTTCCCAGCGGCCCGTGCTCTTCCACTGGACCGGTGGCCGCTTCGAGAGACGCACAGACATCCCTGAGGCCGAGGATGTCTATGCCACACGCCACTTCCAGGCTGGTGGGGACGTGTTCCTGTGCCTCACACGCTACATTGGGGACTCCATGGTGAGGCTGGGCCTGGGGGCGGGGGATGCACAGCCAGGCCTGATGCTACAGCTGACTCTTATTGAGGGCTGGCTTTTCAGCACCGACCCAATCTTGCATACTAAGCCTCTAAACTCTGACCTAGCCTCACATGCTGACCTTTGAACCAGGACCCCACCCCACATTGATGCCAAGACTCTGACCCCCTCAAGGCTGACTGACCCTAAACCACTCCCCAGTCCCCAACACTGACGCTGGCCCCAACATCCTGATTCTACCCCCAGATGCTGGCTCTGTGACTCGGATGCATTCCACACTTCACCACAGCCACACCTGTCCCCACCCTGACACTGAGCCCCGAAGGCTGACGCTGGGGTTAAGCCCTGCCCACTCTGTTTCTGGAGTGAGGTGCAGGCAGGGGAGGGTTCTGAGCCTGGAAGGGCCCTGATCTGACTTAGGTGTTCATAAGGTCTCTGGGTGGGGAAGAGACTGGGGGAGCAGGGAGAGGAGCCTAGAGACCAGGGAAGAGGTTACCAGGATGGTCCATTCGGGAGGGGATGGAGTTCGGCCAGAGGTGGTGGGAGAAATGTACAACTACAGTAGGTGAAACTGACAGAGTCTATGGCTGAGTGCTTCTGTGTGGGGTGTGAGGGCAAGAGAAGGGCTCAGAACAACTCCGTGTGTGTGGCCGAACAGCTGGGTGGTGACCTTTAGGAAGATAAGAAAGCTATGGGAGTTTCGGGACCGACAAGCTTCAGCTTCCAAGCTCTTCCAGGGCCCCCAGAGACCCCCAGGACCCCAGGCCCTCACTGGCCACACCCCCACAGGTCATGCGCTGGGACGGCTCCATGTTTCGTCTGCTGCAGCAACTTCCCTCGCGCGGTGCCCATGTCTTCCAGCCACTGCTCATCGCCAGGGACCAGCTGGCCATCCTGGGCAGCGACTTTGCCTTCAGTCAGGTCCTCCGTCTTGAGCCTGACAAGGGGCTCCTGGAGCCGCTGCAGGAGCTGGGGCCCCCGGCCCTGGTGGCCCCCCGTGCCTTCGCCCACATCACTATGGCCGGCAGACGCTTCCTCTTTGCTGCTTGCTTTAAGGGCCCCACACAGATCTACCAGCATCACGAGATTGACCTCAGTGCCTGACACCACCAACAGGACTCTGGGCATGGCTGGGGCCCCAGGATGGCCCCTTGTCTGGCTCCTGGCCCCACTTGGGGTGATGGCCACCTGTGAGCTGCTGACCATGGGCCACGTTCATCAGCCATAGGTCTAGGCCTTAAACCCACTTCTTAAAGGATCTGCACCCATGGGGTGACATAGAGGGTCACAGCCTATTGGACCTCCCGAGCTGCCCTTCAGGTCTAAAGCAACATCTGGACATCTCGGCTGGGACAGATTCCCCATCAAAGGCAACCTGGGGGTGCAGGCTGGTGCACTGCATGGAGTCGAGGTGGAGATCACCTGCAGAGCTCCATGAGGTCCGGAAGTCCCCTCTCAACCCGCTCCCACCCCCGCTGGTCCCTCTGAAAGCACTGAGGAGTCGATGGCATTCCTTTCCCATTCTAAACTCCATGCAGCCAATCGCTTTCCTGGAAAAGCACCAACCTCAAAGCCAACTCAGCGCTGGGCGGGTTCCCCTTTGCTGCTTGTGCGCATGCGTGCGGCCGCCAGGCGCGCTGTGCCTCTTGCGCCTCTTGCGCGTGCGCGGGGCACAAGGAGGGACGGCGGGAGGTGTCGCGGGGAGCCCGGTGCCCTCCTGGATGGGCGATGGAGGCAAGGACAAGAAGAGTCCGAGCTCAATAAATGCGCTGTGCACCCTGCCCGCCCAGTGTTGTGGATGCTTGGGAGAGGATGTCCTGTGAACAGCACAGGGTGGGGATGGATGGTGTCCCTGGAGCAGTGCTAAGAGCGGCCCAGGTCCCAGGGAGGCGTTTCCGCAGCTCATGGTCTCTGAGTGTGGGTTGGTGGTTATCGAGGGACTCAGGGGATGTTTGAGGGATAAAACGGCATGATGAGGGGACAAGTCACGAGTTTATTGTGGGTCTCTATTTGGGTTCATGTCTCAGGACATTGGGGGAGATATTTTTGGGTGTTTTTAGTTTTAGGCATTTTGTGGGGTAGTTCACGGGAACATTTTGGATGCCTTAATAAGTACTGGGGAGGCTCAAGGGAGTTTGAGGCTTGTTGGAAATTCTCACACTATGTGGTCACCGTATGTCATTAAGGGTAGCATAGGGAATTATTTAACGGGCTTGCAGGGACATTTGGGTATTTGGAAAGATCTTGGAATAAATTGAGGTCTCGGGGGTGAATGAAAGGGTCACAGGAGTCTCACTGTTATAAACTGAACACTTCCATCATGGTAGGACGCTCCTATGTTCCAGTTTTCCTGGGATGGTCCAGGATCCACTGGAATGTTCCAGTGTTCCATCTGGTTAGGGCTCTCTCATTCCTTTGGCTACTAGTAAATCCCAAATTGCATATGAGGTTCCCATGGCTGAGGAGGCAGAGGGCGGGCCTGTGCCATGCCCCAAGCCACAAGGGAACAGGCCTGTGGGCTTTTCCCAACAAGCAGGCTCAGCGCCAGCCTCTGTGTCAGCCTCCAGGACACGCCGACCTTCTCATGGTGCCCCAAGCCCCACCCCAGTGTACACATAGGAAGTCTCCAGGCTGCTTGGGCAGAGGCACAATCATTTTAGATTAAAAAAAAAAAAAATTGAACAAAGAGATCCTCCTGTAAGAGGTAAGATGAGGCCCTGCAGTGCAAGGGAGTCCCAGCAGAGGAGAGAGAATTCCATCCTGGAGTTCAAGTTTCTGTGCAGAGACAGGACCTGGGGACAGAGAACGGTCCTCCACCCAATTTCAGCTGGTCCGTCTTCATCAGTTATGGGCTGAGCCTGGGGGAGGTGACGGGGTCCGTTTGTGAGGGTGGATTGAGTTTTCTTGCCAGTGTGCATGCGCATGCGCACACACACACCCCACTTCCGTGTTCCCCTCAGCCCCATGCTGCCCCATCTTTACCTGGAGTGATGAGAGGTGGAGTCTCCCCTGGATGGTGACTAAGGAGACAAAAGCGGTGAGATCCGTGTCCACCCCCATTTGCCCTCTCCCTCTGGGTAGAGGGTTCTTAGCCTGCCCAGACATGTCTTCCTGGCTGCTTTTCCACTTGGGGGGTTGTGCAATCCCAGGGGCCAAGGCATTTCAGGATTTGGGGCCCTCTGGGGATTACCAGCTAGAAACCATGAACCTGGAAATCTTAGCAGCAGGAACTCTGCAGGGCAGAGCCCAGAGGCCTCTCCTGCTGGGACAGTTAGCCCTTTCACCCTGAAAAGCATCCAGCCAGCCTGAGGCGGGCATGCCGGAACAGTATCTTACCTGGGCTTCTGGCCGAACTTACATTTGCATTTTCCACCTGTTGGGGAGAGCTGAGTGGTCAGGGGAGGGAAGCCCCAGCCCCGGCCCGCCTGCTCCCCCCAGCTCCTTCACTCACTCATGACAATGATGATGCCCATGGCGCACAGAACCCCAGCGCAGATGAGCCCGCCAACCTGGAGGCTGTGCCAGTCTAGGAGGAAAGTGGAGGGGACCTCAGTGCCAGGCTATGTCCTCTCCATCCATCCCCCCATCCTCTTGACAAATACATATGGAGCATCTAGGATGCGCAGGGTGCCGGGGACACCGCCGTAAGAAAACAGACAAAATCCTAAGTGCTCACATTCTAGTTCACACACCAGCAAACAAGATCTGTCATGCAGGGTCAGGCAGAGATAAGTGGTCTGAAGAAAAATAAGCAGGGTGGGTGATGGAAAGTCAGAGGGCAGGCTGGGCATAGTGGCTGACACCTATTAGGTTGGTGCAAAAGTGCGTTTTTGGCTAGGCACGGTGGCTCACGCCTGATATCCCAGAACTCTGGGAGGCCGAGGTGGGCAGATCACCTGAGATCAGGAGTTCCAGACCAGCCTGGCCAACATGGTGAAACCCATTCTCTACTAAAAATACCAAAATTAGCCAGGCGTGGTGGCAGGCGCCCGTAATCTCAGTTACTCGGCAGGCTGAGGCAGGAGAATCACTTGAACCCGGGAGGCGGAGGTTGCAGTGAGCCAAGACTGCCAAGATTGCGCCATCGCACTCCAGCCAGTCACACTCTGGGTGAAAGAGCAAAATTCTGCCTAAAAAAAAAAAAAAATGCACTTTTGCCATGAAAAGCGGTTGCAAAAACCACAATTACTTTTGAACCAACCTAATATACAGAGCTTTGAGACTTCAGGAGTTTAGGAGTTCTAGACCAGCCTGAGCAACATAGTGAGACCCCATCTCTACAAAGTATACAAAAATTAGCCAGATATGGTGGTGCATGACTGCAGTCCCAGCTATTCAGGAGGCTGAGGCAGGAGGATCGCTTGAGCCCAGGAATTTGAGGCTGCAGTGAGCTATGATTACGCCATAGCACTCCAGCGTGGGCAACGGTGTGAGACCTGTCTCTAAAAAACAAGTCAGAGGGCAGCTCTTTTCGAGGGAGTTGTCAGGGAAGGCCTCTTAGGGGGCTGCATTTGAGCAGAGGGAAGGGAGGGAGCCATTTGGTTCTATGGAAGAAAGTGTTCCAGGCAGAGGAACCAGCAAGTACAGAGGTCTGAGGCTGGCAGTATGTCTGCAGTGTCTGAGAGGCTTCGAGCAGAAGGAGTGAGGAGCGTGGAGGAGGTGAGGGCAGAGCGGGGAGTAGGGAGCAGGTCATCGGAACCTGGAGGCCAGATGAGGGTTTTGACCGAACAGCTCACCACCTCCAGGAAGTCTTCTCAGGTCAACACTTCTCCCAGCAGTTGATGTGAACCAAACAATGGCTTCTTGCAAACTGTCCTCACCTCCTGCGTGTGTCTAACTATCTTGCTGGAATAGAACCTTCCCAAAGGCCAGGTTGCTGCCTCTAGTTCCTTTAATCCACCATGTGGACTCTTCAGTGCCCCCATCTTAGTCCCTTCCTATCTTTGTCCTGTGACGCTCACATCAGACCCTCACCCAATCCTGTGTGGGAACCCTTGGCACCAAGCAGTATGTGGGGTTAGGGGGAAGGGAATGGGGACACAGGCTCTCACCATAGTAGAAAGGACTGTTTTTATCTGCAAGGAAAGAAAAAAACATCATGAATCCAGGATTACAGCCAGGATGCAGGCCCCGCTCCCACCCAGGGGAGAATTTGGGGGTGGGACAGGTGAAAGAGTCCAGTGTGACTCACCTTCTGGGTCATTGGCATCCAGGACAGGCAAGCCTGGTGGGAGAAGAGGGGAAGAAGGGGAGATGGTGATGCTGGCCTCAGCCAAGCCCTTGGGCAGGGCCCGTGGAGTTTCAGGGGCCTTGGGAAAGGGTCCTCTGAGGGACAGGGGTCCTGTCACTGAGCAGCCGCCTCATCCCCTCATATCCCATCATGGAAATGTGAACTCGCCCACTCAGCCCCACACCTCCGAGTCATGCCAGCATTCTACCACCTGAAATTGGTTCTAATCTAGGAGGGTTTTGGCCACTGTCTGGTCTCGTGTTTCAGACACGTGGTTAATCCATGCCTTCTGCAGCAGCAAGGGACTTTTCTGGTCAAGACGACAGATGGTTTCAGTTCCCAGATTCCTGTTTCCCCAAGTCCCATCATGCTCAAAGCCCGTCCTCCCGCTTCCACCATGTCCACACCCACCTGGTCTGGTGTTTGCACATCATTGAAAATGACTCACTATTATACACTTAAATAGACTTTATTGAAAATGTAATTTTAGATCACTACCCTGCAGGGAATACTAGTCTTGCCCTGTGTAATGGATAAAAAGTGTGCCTATAATCCCAGAGCTTTGGGAGGCAGACGTGGAAGGATTCCTTGAGCCTGGGAGGTCAAGGCTGCAGTGAAAAAGTAAAAAGGGGACTGGGCGCAGTGGCTTAGGCCTGTAATCCCAACACTTTGGGAGGCCGAGGCAGGAGGATCACTTGAGGTCAGGAGTTCGAGACCAGCCTGGCCAATATGGTGAAACCTTGTCTCTTCCAAAAATATAAAAGTTAGCCAGGCATGGTGGCACATGCCTGTAATCCCAACTACTTGGGAGGCTGAGGCAGGAGAATCACTTGAACCCGGGAGGTGGAGGTTGCAGTAAGCTGAGTTCATGCCACTGCACTCCAGCCTGGGCAACAGAGCGACGACTCTGTCCCAACAAAAAAAAAAAAAAAAAGAAAGGAAAGAAAGGAAAGAAAGAAAAAAGAGGAAAAGTGTTTGGAAGTTAAAGATGCAGTCGCACCGAGCTGAGCCTTCTACTTGAAATTTTTGGAAAATTTACAAGAGAACTGGCTGGGCAGTTATCTTATTTCAGTGCTTTGAAGGTGTAATTTCATTGTATTCTAGCTTCCGTTATTTATGTTTAATAGTCAATCAAGGCCAGTGCAGTGTGGCTCGTGCCTGTAATCCCAGCACTTTGGAAGGCTGAGGTGGGAGGATCAAACTCAGCCAGGAGTTTGAGATCAGCTTGGACGATACAGTGAGACCTCGTCTCGGCAAAATATTTAAAAATGAGCTGGGCTTGGTGGTGTGTGCCTAGAGTTCTAGCTGTGTAAGGCTAAGAGAGTAGAATTGCTTGACCCCAGGAGTTCAAGGCTGTAGTGAACTGTGATTGCACCATTGCACTCCAGCCTGAGTGACAGAGACTCCCTTTCAAAAAAAAAAAAAAGAAAGAGCGAGCGAGAGAATGGGGAAGATGGTGACTTTCCAGCTGTGCGAGCCAGCTCGTCTTGTGTATCCCTGGCAATCACTAGTTTGACTTTACTTACCCTCAAGGAGATGCTGTTCTAACATTTACCACCTTCCCTGGGGCAGTAGAAAAGCACAGGAGAGAGACAGAGGCTTGGCAGTCCCCCATCCAGGGGATCCAGAGGAAAAGGCAGTTGGGGGATTGTTACTCACCTGCCAGGAACACAAGCAGGCCCAGGGTCACCTTCTGCATGTCAGAGCGCGGGCCTAGAGGGGTGGCAGGAGGTCTGGCCTTAGCAGAGCCACCAGGAGGCTGGCCTTGTGCCTATGGCTCCCCAACCCTCCTCCCCTGCTCCCCAGGCAGGGTGCGCAGTTCACCCAGGGCAGGAAGGCTGGCATCTCGCTGGGCTGAGAGATAGGCCGCAGCCGCGCCGTGGAGTGGGGACTGGGTGAAACTCGGGCCTGACGCGGGAGGAGCCATAATAACTCATTGGACATGGACTTCAGGCTTTCTGTGAATCGCCCCGCAACCAAACGAGGGCACCACGGCCCGCTGTTGTCCTCATTGGACAGATGGGGAAACTGAGGCTCTGGGAGGCGAAACTAGGTGCCCTAGCCAGGAAGCAGGATTTAAGCCAGGCCTGGCTCCCCAGCAGCTGCTCCTAACTAAGGACTGTCAGGGCCTTGGGGTGTTTGGGGAAGCCAGGTGCTGGGAGCCAGGTGGCAGGAGGCCCGCTTCCCGGGGGTGTCTCCATAGACGGCTCAGAGCCTGCCTCGCCCTGCCAGGACATTGCAGACTTCAGGCTGCGGACTGAGCAGGTTCTTCAAGCTGCTCAGGGCGGGGTGTGTGGAGCAATTGACTTGAGGCTGGGACTGGGGGTAGATGGGGACAAACTCAGCCTGGCTGCAGCCCTAGCTCCATCTCTGTTCCCCAGAACCTCCTGCCCCTCACCCCTCACCCATGCCCTTCCCGGTCCCAGCCCTGACCCTGCCTAGCCTGAGTCCCCTGCCCAGCCCCTGACCCTACCCTAGGCCCCGCAAAGCACTTTCTTTCCCAGGTAGACCTGCTCAGCATAAGGAACTTGTTTCTCTCTCCTTCCTGATCTGGCATCAGTCCTGCCCTCCCAGCCTGCAAGGCTGCACCAAGCCCGGGCCTCCAAGTATGCCCTCCCCTGCCCTGTTCCTGCCCAAATGCTACTGAGTGCATAGTTATCATAATTGTTTTTATTTTTTCTCTTTTTTGAGGCAGAGTTTCACTCTGTCGCCCAGGCTAGAGTGCAATGGCAAAATCTCAGCTCACTGCAACTTCTGCCTCCTGGGTTCAAGCGATTCTCCTGCCTCAGCCTCCCGAGTAGCTGAGACTACAGACGTGTGCCACCATGCCTGGCTAATTTTTGTATTTTTGGTAGAGACAGGATTTCACCATGTTGGCCAGGTTGGTCTCGAACTCCTGACCTCAGGTGATCCACCCACCCGGGCCTCCCTAAGTGCTGGGATTACAGGTGTGAGCCACCGCGCCTGGTCTAGTTATAATTTTGATAGCAAGAGCTGGTACTTCCTCCACCTTGCCCTGGGGTGCACACTGACCTTGCTGTGTTCTCACTCACTTAACCCCCCAGCAATTTCATGGACAGCAAAAATGCTGAGAGAGGGTGGTGCGGGTGGTCCCTGCAGGTTGGCACAGACTCCTCCCTCTGCCTACGCACCCCAGGGCCTGGGAATCCTCTCAGCTTCCCAGTTAATTCCACATGCTGAACTCACACTTTTAGTTTGAGCATCCATTTCTTTTCCTTTTTTTTTTTTTTTTTTTTTTTGTGGGAAGAAAGCCTGAGACTTTGGGGAGCATTACTGAGACCCAGAAAGTGTTTAGGATCCCCAAAAGTGTTGGGGGTTGGGGGAGCTGGTGTGGGTGGGTGGGCAGGAGGGCATGGTGGATAGGGGCACAGGTTGTAGGTAGACTGCCTGTGGTCTGAAGCTGTCACCCATAACCATATGAGTCCTGGTAACAGCAGCAGATGTTTATTGAGTGTCTACCCCACGGGGCATTTTCTTTTTTTTTTTTTTTTTGAGACGGAGTCTTCGCCTGTCACCCAGGCTGGAGTACAGTGGCCGGATCTCAGCCACTGCAAGCTCCTCTCCGGGGTTAACGCATCTCCTGCCTCAGCCTAGAGTAGCTGGGACTACAGCGCCCGCCACCCACGCCCGGCTAATTTTTTGTATTTATAAGAGAGGGTTTCACCGTGTTATGCCCGGATGTGTCTTGATCTCCTGGCCTCGTGATCTGCCCGTCTCGGCCTCCCAAAGTGCTGGAATTACAGGCTTGAGCCACCACGCCCGGCCGGGGCATTTTCTTAGCTTCCCACTTATTTGCTCAATCTCTGCAGCTTAACATAGGGGGCACTATTATTAGCACACATTGCAGTTGTAATCCTGTAACCCCTGCAAATTCATCTTAAAGCCCTATGCTCTGTCGCCTTGGCTGTTGAGTCTCACCTCTTAAGCCTCTTTCCAGGGGCTCCTCCAAGCCACCTCTGGCCTGCAAGGCCCCACTATTCCCCCTTCCCATGATGTCATCCAGCCAAGACTAACAGATGGTACTTGCCTCGCCCCAGCCCCAGCCCCAGCTTCTGCAAAACAATGTCCAGCCCCACGTTTCTGAAGGCTGCAGGGAGCCGGGAGCTGGGTCTGCCCTCAACATTCCCCATTCAGGCTGTTGCTGAAGAGGCCCTGGACTGCTCCCGAACCAATGTGGTTGGTGGGCAGGTTAGAGAGGAAGGCAGCCCTGCAGCTGATGCTCTGTCTACCTGCCCTGATCCTTCCTGGCCACGAGGTCCCAAGGCCTGCCTGAGGACTGTTTGCCCCACCTGCCCTCTGCTATCCCCTCTATTTCTCCATACCGTAGGAGAAATGTCTCATGTTCAGGGGCGGGCAGAAAGATCCTGCCCTCTCTGTGCTCCTGAAATCTCCCAAGCAACTCCGCATTTACAACTTCCCCAACAGCTCTGTCCTCTTTTCCTGGGGGTCTCCAGAATCCACATCCCTCAGTGTGCCTGGGCACCCCGAGTGCATCTAGCACTCCTCATCCACACAGATGTCCCCAGTCCATCTACGCACGCCTGGTCCACTTAGATACCCCTACCTACCCAGGCACCCCCCTCTCTTCCACCCAGATATCCCCAACCCAGATACCCCTAATCCATGCAGACATCAGTCTTCCCAGACACCCCAACCACACTTACCGGTCCTGCCCTCACCCCAGCCAGCTCAACCAGTCCCTGAGAGGAGAATGGTGGGGAAAGGGACATTAGGGGAAGGGACTTTCTCCTATCTCCTGGCTCCAGAAAAACATTTCCAAAGATTTTAGGCTCTTTAACAGCAGAGCTTCTATGTGGCAGGGTCAGTGGGCAGGTAGATACTCCCTCGTTTAGGGGCAGAGCCAAGGAGGGCTTGGAGGAAGGGGGCCCCAGCTGCTCACCTGTGTGGTTCACCAGGCTGAGCAGAGGTTCCGGGAGAAATCGGGGCTGCGAGGCGGAGTCCTGCCTTTATCCGAAGCTGCCACGCCCTGAGCAAACCTGGGCAGGTAGAAAACAAGTCAGAGGCCCTAAGGCCCAGGGGCTCCGTTCCTGCTCTTAAAGAGACAGCTTCACCCCCTCCCCAGCCATCCCAGCCATGGGTAGCACGTTGCTCCCTGGGGTCACCAGGGCCACAGCAGCCTCAGGTGAGACGGAGAATTGGATGGGTTGGAACTCGGTCCCTGGAATTAAGGGAGGAGCTCTCTCCAATCTTCTGTGCCCAGGAGAGGACCTTGAATGGGGAAGGTTCTGGGGTCTTTAAACGGCAGAGCCTCCAGGGCCATGCAGGGAAGTGATGTGTTGGTGTTCCGACCTGACTTCTTTCCCTTAGATGATGTGTTTTGCCTGGTGGAAGGATTGCTGGCAATTGTGGGGGACTTAAAGTCCCCTTCCAGGCCACAGCTTGCTGCAGGGACAATTTCAGGGTTATCAGAGACGCTGGCATGACCAAAGTCAGGAGATGGGGCAGGGGTGCATATGAGGGAGCAGCTGGAACAGCAGGGAGGGGCCAGGGTGGGGACTCTGGGACCTTAGTCCTGGTCATAACCTGCTCCCTGCCCTGGGGAGAATGAGAACTGGCTCCAGGCACCAGGCTGGAGTTTTCTAGCCAAACTCTTTCCGTGGGTGCTGGGACAGCCAGATGTCCGGGTCTACAGAGTGGGCGCTGGTGGGGGCGGCTGCCTCCTAGTCTAGATAAGGCCCCCTGCATTGTACAAGGCTCCCTCCCCTTTTCCTCCCCTGTCTCCTGCTCCTCCTCCTCCAGGCATTCCTTCCGGATGGGGTCTGTGCAGGCTCCCCCATGGTCCCAGTTGGGGGTGCCCCCTCCCCTCAATTCCGCCTTCTTAGACAGAGGGACTTTTGTCTGGGGGCTGGATGGAGAACAAGGATCCTTTGAGCGGTTGGCGGAGGATTGGGGTCACGGGGAGGGGTAGGGCCAGGAAAGGGGTAGCTCTGCCCTGGACACCAGCTGGACTCCAGGCGACCCCAACACCATCGTGGGGGCAGGGAGGAGGGCTGCAGGGCCAGGCCAGGGAGAAGCAGCTGCTGGGAGTGTGGAGCACAGGACAGGAAAAGGGGGTTTAGGCCAAGGCTCTGCCGGAAACTGGCCTGCTGGGGGCAGAGAGAAGGACCCCCCACTTGTCATCTCTGAGGGATGGGGGCGGGGAATGCTCGCCCAGCGCTACACCCTTTCTCTATGTGGTTCCCTGGGGCAAGTTGTCAAATCCAGGCCCTAGACAAGGACAAGGCTCCCTGCTACCCCTGTTAAGGTGGGGCCAGTTCCCATAAGAAAGCGGGGCGGGGAGGGGGCGGGGAGGGGGGGGCTCGGGGTAGGGCTCCAAGCAAGAGGCCTAGGAGGAGATAGAAACAGCAAGGGGAGGCCCGGAGGCTAACTCAGTCTAGCTAGGGGGGGGTCTTTGTGTCTGTGTAGATAGCATCTCTTCCCCAGACCCTTCAAGCTTGGTTGTGTCTGGGACGACCCCTTGGTGGTCTTGGGAGTGGAATGGTGTCTCCCTCTGCTGGGCAGCCTGGGAACTGCAGGCATCAGAGAGCAAGTCGGGGTGCGTGCAGGGTGGCTGGGAAGGGCGGGGGACGCTCTCCCCTTCACCGGAACGGGGTGAACTGGAAAACTGTTGCCTCAAAATCCTGGAGGAACCCCCCTGCCCGTGGATAGATACAGAGGTATTTCCCAGACAGCTTGCTAAGCGGAAAAAAAACAAGGTGTAGGGAAACCGTGGAGCGTGCTACCATTTGTGAGCGGTAAAATAATGCATATTCATATACTTGTAATGAATAAAATATTTTTGGAGATTGGCATCCATGGGTGCTTCTGTAGAAGGAAACTGGGAGGCTGGAGGCTGGGGTGGAAGTGAGACGCACTCATCATCACGTGCCCTCTTATATGTTTTGAATTTTGCATCCTGAAAATGTACTACCTTAAAGAGGTTTAATTTAAAAACTTTGATTCAGATTTTTAAAAAAAATTTGTAGGTCAAACAAACCACATCTGTCGACTGGTTTCAACCTGGGGGACCAGCAATTAGAGCCTTCTGACAACCTCTGAAGGTTCTGTAGTTTTAAACACCATGATCTTACATTCTGATGTACAGATGTTTACGGTTGTTACCCAACCCAGGTCAACCACAAATTCTTCCTAGGCTGGATGTGAACATGCTGCATCCAAGTGTGTGTTGGGCTGGGGCTGGGGCTTAGGGTTTATGGTCAGGAGGACTATGAGACCCCAGTGTGATGAGCACACTGAGACCCTTAGGAAGGGCTGTAGGGAGCAGAGTTTGTGCAGTCACTTGCACCCTATCGGGGATCAGGTCTCTTTTGGAGTGAATCTTAAGGGCCAATTTGACTTCAGTTATGTTTTAAATGCACATAGGTAATATGTTTTATTAATATATTGTATATAATACAGACAATAAACATATTTGAAAAAGTCTCTCTCATTTTGCTTTTGGAATCATGTGGGCCCAAAGAACCTGTTGAGGCTGTGAGTGGCTGTGATTTCTCCATATCCTGGGAATTCTTACAAAATGAAAAAAAAAAAACCAAACCTACAGAGAGTTTCTGAACACCACAAGGTTTTCAGGAACGCTGAATTAAAGCACAGAATCAAAGCCAGAGCATGTTATACCATCCCTGATTCAAACTTTTATTGATTTTGTTTCAATCATTTCATTGCTCTTTACTTAAGGCTTGGGAGTGTTTCTGCAGGCTCCTGGCCCTAGAGAGGGCCGCCTGGAGGCACCCCCAGCCCTGAGAGGGGTGCTGGTTGGGTGGGGTCCTGCCTTTGCCAGTAGAGCCTGAGTGGTCAGGCTGACTGGCTGACTGGGAGGTGTGGTCACAGTGGTATGCCAAGGTCCTGCTTCCTGGGCAAGATGGGGTCAGAGAGGCCGGTGGACAGGGCGATGAGGCTTCCTGAGGCTTTGTGGAACAGCGTTGTGGTCTCAGCATCTGTGGGAGAAGAGTGGGCGCTGGCAGGTAGCCCTGTCTTGCCACCATGGAGATGGTGTGGCTGTGGACGTATCGCTGTCCGCCTGGCTTCTAGGAGCCACGTGAGGTGACACAGTGGCCAAGAGTCCACAGGCTCCCTGACATCTGTCTCTGTGCTGTTCTGATGTCATCACTCATCAACAGAAGCTAGAAATGGAGACTTCTATGATGAAATCTGATTTTTTTTTTTTTTTTTAAGATGGAATTTTGCTCTTGTTGCCCAGGCTGCAGTGCAGTGGCACAATCTCAGCTCACTGCAACCTCCGCCTTCTGGGTTCAAGCAATTCTTGTGCCTCAGCCTCCCGAGTAGGTGGGATTACAGGTGTGTGCCACCACACCCGGCTAATTTTTGTATTTTAGTAGAGACGGGGTTTCACCATGTTGGCCAAGCTGGTCTCCAACTCCTGATCTCAAGTGATCCGCCTGCCTCAGCCTCCCAAAGTGCTAAGATTACAGACATGAGCCACCACGCCTGGCCCCTGATTATTTTTTTCTTTTAAGAGGTGAGTTCTTGCTCTGTTGCCCAAGCTGGAATGTACTGGTGCAATGATGGCTCACTGCAGCCTCCAACTCCTGGGCTTAAATGATCCTCCCACCTCAACCTCCCCTGCAGCTGGGACTACAAATGCACATCACCACACATGGCTAATTTTTAAATTTTTTTTAGAGACAGGGGTCTCGCTATGTTGCCCAGCCTGGTCTTGAACTCCTGATCTCAAGTGATCCTCCCACCTTGGCTTCCCAAAGTGCAGGGATTACAGGTGCAAGCCACTGCACCCGGCCCTGATTTTTAAATGTTGGTAACTTCGTTTTCTTAACACTTTGTAGACAGAATGAAAAATATCCAGTGGTTGGATAAGGCCCTGGGGCCACCAGTTGGAGTCCCCCATCTTAGGGACTCGGCAAACTCGGGAGGTTCAGGGCCCCCGCCTAACCCCTGTTGTCACTCACTCTGCTCCGGCCACCTGGGCCTCCTTGCTGTTCCTGGATTACTCCAGGCGTGTTTCTGGCCAAGAGCCCTCGCAATGGCTATTCCCTTGCCTGGCTCTTTTCTCCCACATCTGGACAGCTCAAAGACATGACGCTCAAGGGGCCTTCCCCGACCACCATCGCACCTACCCCCTGACCTCTCTATGACCTTGTGACTAAACTCTCTTCAAAGCATATTCTAGGAAACTTCTGTTTGCTTTTTTTTTTTTTTTTTGGGTGGTGCTATCTGCCTTCCCTGCCAGCACGTCAGTTCGTCTCACAGAATTTCATCTGAATTATAGAACGGGGCCTGGTGCATAGTGGGTGCTCACAAAGCATCTGTTAATTACCAGGCTGGGCACAGTGGCTCACGCCTGTAATCCCAGCACTTTGGGGGGCCGAGGCTGGAGGATCCTTTGAGTCCAGGAGTTCAAGACCAGCCTGGGCAACATAGAGAGATCTTATCTCTAAAAAAATAAAAATAAAAGTACATTTAAAATAATTATAAAAGAAAGGCTTTCTCCCCCACCACCCCCTATCCATGGAGGCCTTGCAGGAGCTGAGGTGGGGGTGCTGATGGGGGCAGGGGGTGTGGAGGAATGAATTTCTTGGCCAGCTTCCCCATCATGCGGGGAGTAGGGGCAGGGTTGGGG